ACGTTGCCATGAAGTAAGTTCGTTTAGAAGTAATAAACTGACAATAATATTCCAAGCCATATATAGTCTGTGATATAGTAAAAAGCTATTAAATTTACTATAGATTAGTAAGAACTTCTTGAAATTGTTTATTTAAGATTCATTTTCGATTTTATGCCAGGTATAATGTGCAACAGATAATATTATAAACGTTTAAAAATAAACAAAAGTCAACTTAAAATGATTTGAGGTACAATCTTAAGATCATAAAATAGGTATGTTCTTTGGATAGTGCCGTCGACCTGGCCGCCACGCGTGGCCGCGCGCGCACCCGCCGTGGAGAATGTGGCGACATGGACAGGTGGCCGCACTCACACCTGCAAGTTGGCCACTCGCCACCTATTACCTTGCATTGGTCACCTATTAAAACGTTGCATGTGTCTCGATGACCATTAGGACATGTGCTGAGCTTGGCCTTTACACTAACGAAGCTCCCTAAACATAGAAATGTCACGTCGATATTTTTCTACCACAATATTATGATAAAAACTATTCCTGGGCTTGTTGTTTTGTCTAAGAAATTGTTATCGAACTCTCTCAAGAACATTTTAATGCTATTTTAATTTATTTACGTTGTAAGTAAATAATTTTTGCCAACCATAAGTTCGCACTGCCAAAGAATCTAAGATAGAAAAAGGATCTCTATGGGCGTTTTTAAAACATCTTTATATTCCTACCGCTACCATCTCACTAATCTTACTAATATTATAAATGCGAAAGTTTAGATGGATGAAGGTATCTCCGGAACGGCTGAACGGATTTTGATGAAATTTGACACACAGGTAGAACATAGTCTGGAAGAACACTTAGGCTACTTAGTATGTTTTTTTTTATTTCCACGCGGACGGACTCGCGGACGATAGCTTGTTGAGATGACACATAGCCACAAATCATACTATTAAATCATAAAGAAAATTTACGTAATCGCTTTCTAGTGCCGATAAATGCATAGATCTCTCCATAATGTAGTCAACTAATGTGTCAACATAAGCTCTACATCTTTGTAATTATTTATTCATAGTCTTGTTAGATACTAGCTATGTACCGTGGTTTCATACGAAATATTCTACGCCAACTTTATTTCATCACCGCAAAGACGAGCATAGATGGAAATGTAATTCAAACCATCTCTACTTGACTTCAAAGAGTTAAATCATTATTATATAATATTATAATATCTTGCTAATATTGTAAACTGGAATATTTAGATGGATAAATGAATGGATGGATGTTTGTGTGAAGATATCTCCAGAATAGCCGAACGGATCTCGCTGAAATTAGGCATGGCACATAGGCTACAATTTACATATGTCTTTTCTTTAATTCTACGCACACGGAGTTGCGGGCGACGGCTATTTGTCTATATTTGCACTAGAATAATACCAATTATCTAGAACTCTTTCTTTATTACTGATGCGATAAAACTGAATACTTTTTGTGAACCATCAAGTATGCTCTAGAAGGTGCCGTTCCGCAGTTGCTCTGTCACGGCCGCTTGCATAAATGTCTCAAGAAATTGACCATAACCAGGCAATGACTTACCGCGAACCCACGACCATATCTTTACAGTTGCTAATTATTCAGGTGGTTACTGCAATTATGTTTTATCGTACATCTTCCTTTGGTAACATGCGTGAGCGCTCCGCGATCTCTTTTATGAAATATAGACATTAAAGTAATCGTTATGTTTATTTCTTATTAAGTTACTTATGGCTGTTGCTTCAAACTGGTTGAATTAATGTCTGATGACATGAATAAATACGCAAACTTGTGAATAATTTCTTAACTTAGGTTCCACGACATTTTCAAGGCATATTTCGCTTCGATCGATAAAAGACAAATATAAATTTAAGTATAAGAGATTTTGTGTCTGCTGGCGTAGTTGACTAAGGCCTAGTCATCCCTAAGTTAGGAAAGTTCTTAGTACTTTGGGGATATGAGTTGAAGACAATACTTTCTACTAAGATGTTATAATAAAAAGTGAGATTTTTTAATACCAAAATTCGAATAATGTCCTAACGGACTACAGCTTAACGTACGTAGCATTTAAATAATCTGTATCAAACAAGAAATCAGTAACCAAATGAAATAAGTATAACACAAAACCTTAACATCAGAGTACTTCACATCTATATAATAAGTAAATCATTTCAAACATCACAAGTTTATTGTGGCTTTGGTATTAAAAAAAGATTTAAAAATGGAGCGTTGCGTTTTGTGGGCAACGGTCGCCATCACGATTTCACGGAGGCCAGTAATGGCCGCCATTAGACGCGTAGCGACACGGAAAATGGCGGACGACGACCCGAGACAGGCGGCTCTGTGCGACCACAGCCATTCGGATCATCATTTAATATCAAACACAATGAATACCGTCAAACTGTCAGTTTCCACTGTAAATGTAAGCTGGTACAACGTGAACAAAAACATATCGCTATCTCTGTTTCTTCAAAGAACACGAGAGGGATGGTGATATTTTTGAAACACAAAACCTTAATGAAATTATTTGATTTACCTGTTACTTCATTTTGTACTAACAGAGGGATGCTACGGCTTTTTTCCATATTTAACCAAACAAAACACTTTAGACTCATCAAAGACTACTTACAAAAGATAACTTGAAAAATGCCACCGGCAAGACGCGAAATAAAAATTAGAACTACCTTCTCTTCTCAAAGCGATTGACGTTCAGTATTTTTATTCAAATTATTTTGATTGAAAAGCGAATAATCAACAATTGTTATAATTGGTCATTAAAAATTCTATTATCTTGTAAATAAAATCATAATTTAAATAAAAATAAAGATTTTCATTGCTTGAACGGGATTAAAGCTTATTTAATTTGTATGAGTAATGAACATTAATTACAGTAAGAACTAATGATTGACGTTAAAAGGGGGAAACGAAGTCAACAGTTAGGCATAACAACCCGTAGCAATCGCGATGGTGGCCATAGACCATGGCTGATTGTTAACTTTGCTTTACCCTCGTAATTATCCGTTACCAGCCAGTTCTTCTTCCTTCATGCGTTAACCATAGACAGCTTTCTTTTTTATTAACCTATAGACGTAATAAAAATATTTTATTACATCTATGATTAAGTCCGTAGAACATTGTAGACGTATTGTGATCGAGTTACGATGTAAATATGTATAATTACATATTTATATTTTTATAAATCTTTTAAAAGAAAATTTTATTATTTTGCATCAGTTTCTTCTTAAAATTACATTTAATAATGTTTAAGATATCTTATTAATATTATAAATGCGAATATTTGTTTGAAGATATCTCCATTACGGCTACATGGATCTCGCTAAACTTTAGCATAGATGTAGAACAATCTGGAAGAGCACATATGCTACTTATAAAGTTTTTTTTTCCGCGCGGACTAAGACGCGGGCGATGACTAGTTCATTATAATTCCAACCAATCTTAACTTTCTCAATTTCTTTATGAAAAGAGATACAACTCCTTTAATATTTTAACGGCACTTTCATAGACTACTACTGATAAATAATACTGGTTTGGTTAACCACAATATAAAAGTCATATAAAAAAAAATTATTGAAAAATATTTTATTCAACTGTCTCAACAATAGAATATTTACACAATTACAATTTACAATATACATTGTACAATACTACGTCTTCATTATTTACAATATGTTACATAGAACAAGCTTAATTTGGACCCAAAGTGCGCTTCGATGTACATTTTATTCAGCAAAACATAGCTTACGTTCCCGAAGTTAGCTACGTAACGTAGTGAGCGAGACAGATATATACAGTAAGTATCAGTGCGACAGAGATCGCTGCATTGCAAACTTCAGAAACGAAAACCATAGATTAAATTTTACGTATTTAATTAGGGGTTTACATTTGCAGTAAATAATGCTTTATTTAACTGGCCGACACTCTAAGTAATATACTTATTTAATTTAACTTTATCATAATTAAAAGAAATTTACTTAGGTTTATAGCAAATCGAAGTCGCAAGATTGACGTAAAAATATATAATATAAAAAATGAATTTAGGCAAATTCTAGTAGATAATTAGCAAAATATGAAAAAAATCATATAATAAGTTAATAAATGCACCTTCACAACAATCAATAAAAACGTTATTAAAGCGCGGTAATTATTTCTACTAGAGCACAATAACATGAGTCCTGGTCACGATGACGTCATAGCGTTCTTATATCACAAGATTCAAACTTTATGGTGGTTCGGTTGCACATTTGTACTGATGATTGCAGATGGAGTATAGCACATTCTAAATTATTAATAATAGGACCATTTTGTTACACATGCGACCAATCTGGTCAAATATTGCACTTTTGTAAAAAGGGAGATAAAAATAAATTAGATTTAGCTGCAGTTCTGATGAAAAGTTATCAATTTTCACAAATATCTGGAGATAATAAATACTGTGACCGACTTTACTATGAGGACAACAGTATAGTACTATCCATATTTAATAACGGCTCGCAATTTCTAACGAGGCACTGCATAACACAATTTAATTTAATTTATTAGTGTTCACTTAGCAAAGATTAAAAGAAAATTATAAAAGTAAAAATGTTATTAAAAAAAAAAGAAAATATCCCAAGTCTCAAGTTATTGTGCCCGCATAGTATTTGAAGTTTCACATGATTCTACATTAGACATAAATTAAACTTTAAATATAGGCGGTTATAAATTAATATACAATCTTTAAATTACACAAAAATATTAAGAATATTATGTTACATATACTTTGATATATATTTAAGAGCACTCAAATATATAAGGTACATTTCATAATACGGAAGTAACCTACTAGATACTATACATAAATCGGTAAAATTCAAATCCAAATACATATGAATATTGAAATTACACAGTACATAATTAATTTAAAATAATTTCCTCTAAAATTGCTTAAAAATGTACATTTATAAGTTATTACAGTTATTTTTGTATTTAAAATAATATCACTATGGTAAAAAGTAAATATTGAATTGTTTATATCACTACATATAATTCTATTAAACAATTAATCTATGGAATTATCTTTACAAATCTTAATCGTATACAAAATTATTACATATTATATATTTACAAATTATCATTATAAATTTACCCCTGTACTTATACACAAGTCATGGATAAAATAAAATTGACACACGCAGGACCACTGGCAACACCAATAAACAATGAACAGTACATGTCTTTAAGAAATTTCATTCTGAGTTTACTTCTAGAAGTAACTGGACGGATTTCTTGTTTAATATGAATTTAGTATGTTGATTTTGGCATAGGCAATTTTAAATGTTTACTGCAATGTAATAAGTTGAATAATTATGTAACCATATGATTTCACTGCTTCAACTTCCATACAAAAAACTTATCATGAAACTATTGCTAAATCTACTCACAATAGAAGTCTGACAACAGAATGAAACCATTGATTTCATCACAACAGTTAGGTTATGTTTTGAAATGTTGGGTTCGGTGTAAAGCACTTTTCACAGTAAACTGAATCCATCGCAGTCTATCCACAACATCAGTTTGTAGCTATGAAACTCGACACGAATAATCACAACTGATAGGTTGTGTTCACAAGCACTATTCACTGAAAACTTATTGTCATGTTCACTAAAGTAATTCTATTGTGGCCTGTTAGGTTCGGTTATTCACAAGCACTGTTCACTGTAAACTTGGTTGTGTTCTATTCACAATAGCAGAATTGCTGCGACTTGCAGCGGCTGCGTGTGTAGCGACGGGACTATGCGTCGCTAGCCTCGTCCTAGCTATCCTGCTCCGTCTCCAGCTTGGTGCCGGGCCGGATCATAACCAGCTTCTCATCACCTTCACCGGCCGTGTGTATAGTTTCAATGGTGAGCATCATTTTGTCATCACAGCTATCATCACCGGAATCTGAATACATCAGCTGGTTGGTTGTTGTTGTTTCCTGGAATTTTTAAAGAAAAAATTATAAATGGCTGCAAGAGACTATTGTTAGGAAGAAAATCCGACACTGTGCCGGTGTGCTGGCACAACACTATCCTTACTAAATTATCGACGTTTATGTCCCCTCACTAATCATTCTGACACTAGACTGGTTAAGGATTCTAACTAATAATGTCTAAAACTATGAAATAAAATATTTAATATTCGCAGTCTGTGCTTACCGTGCTCCTAGTTTTGGTGTGTATTCGCACGTGCTTGGCGAGGTGGTCTGACCTCATAAACCTCTTGCTGCACTCGGGGCACTCAAACCTCTTCTCTCCGGTGTGCGTACGTCTATGCCTCTGCAGCTCATCAGAACGTGTGAATCTGAAAGACAATTATATTCATATTTTATTTTATAGTAAAACTAATTTATTAATATCCGATGACAATCTACGCTACTTTGACTCATCTTCTCCTATAGAATGTAGAATCTTATAATTACTAGTTCTAGTAAGAATATAGTGACGTAATAGTTAACCTTTTGCCGCAGAAGAGCCAATTGCAGAGGAAGGGTCGCTCGCCAGAGTGCCAGCGCAGGTGGGCGCGCAGGTGCGACGTCTTGCCGTACACTTTGTTACAGCCGGGGATATGACACACGTGCTGCTTCTTGCGGTCGGACAGTCTGTTGATTCACCCACATTATGAAATACTAAATATCTACTATTATGGTTTTCAATTATCTTGGATGTTCGCAACATCTTACGAGACTGTGAGTAAAACACAATTTTAGGTGTACAGGGGCGTTAAGGGTTGCGGAGGAGATGACCTTGAACTGCCAAGATATTTGAAAAGACCAAAACACTAACTTGTTTTATCTACACACTAACTCGGAATTTAAAAAAAGAAAACTACCCTTTATGTTCTTCCAGATTATGGTTCTACATCTATGCCAAATTTCTGGAAGATAGGCTGAGCGGTTTTAGAGATACCTTCTAAATAATATCCTTCAGTGTCAAGATAAAGATTAAATTGTGTTTTGTTGTTACAATATTATTTCCAGTGTGATATGATCTACCTGAAAACGCTTAGCTAGCATTTGTACTGTATTTTAATAACAAAACGATCGTGTTACATTGACGGCAAAGCGGTGTTTTATTACTTCATGTTTTCTGGAAGCATTTGTTGATATTTATAAAGTAATTTATGTGAAACATTTTAAATAACTGTTGCTATGTGGCATAGAGTTTAGGTTTGTTAGACAATCTAATGATAAATATGAAATTTAATCGCTATATTATGTAGTTGCTTCATGGTATATATGTATGTATGCGTGCACTCACTTCTCGCCCTGGTCGCAGTTGGGGCAGGTGCAGGCGACGCGCTTCATGAGCCGCTTGCCGTGTGTAGGGCTCGGCTCGCGCAGCTTCTCGCACTCCGCCCCGCCCCCCGCGCCTGCAGCCCCGCCCCCGGTCGCGGCGGCCCCGCCCCCGCCCCCCGTGCTCACAGTCACCACCTGCCACTTGCCCGGCTCGGACGCGTCCTGCTGAATCTGCTGGCCAGTGAATGTCGCCTCTGGAACGTGTTATACGTACAATTAAATATCAGATTCTTTAACACAACTACAGTAGATTTATTTTGTACCATTTTTTTAAAGCCAGTAACATTTGTGGGCGTTAATTTTCATAACACATTTAAACTAAGGGTTTTTTGTATTAAGCGATCAGCTTTGCGCCATCACCGTTTTTATAGCAGTTGGTCATCCAATATCGGTGGCGAGACTTAGTCGTTTAGTGGAAACAGAAACTAAGAGCAAATCGGTCAAGTTACCAATGACAGGTTGCTGTTGCTGCTGCTGCTGTTGTTGCGGCTGCGACATCTGCGCGAGTTGCACGCCCTGCACGCCGGGCATCACGGCCGGCACCAGCTGCACCGCACCGCCCAGCCCGCCCACGCCCAGCGTCGGCATCTGCAAACATTTCTACCGTGAACAACTGTACTTTTGTATCACCGTATTTCCACATTTTATATGGTAATGTAGGTAAAAGATGGTATGCACTTAGCCCACGCCCACACCCAATTTTGACCACACCCTTATGATAAGTGGGCAAAACGTGGTAATAGCATTAACCTGTTGCCATGCACACCGCGTATTAACCCATTGCAAGCGTTTAAGTGGCAGTCGGTAAAAATATAAATGTACTAAATATAATAATATATTTTACATTAAGGAAAATTAAAATACGGCTGTACTTAAATAGATAGTTATGCAAGTATTTTAGGTCAACATAAGATATATTTCCGTTAGTTCGTTAGTATGAACCTTTATTTGCCCTTGTACTAACATTGAACACAACCACGAAGTAATACAAACAAAACTTAAGCAAGACTTTACGCACACAAATAATACTATTTTCTCTTATAAAAAATGCATGAACCGTATAAGTTTGCGTTATAAATGATAACAATGTTAATTTATATTAGTTTACGTACGTACGATGTTTTTTCTTTTATATTTTCATCCGACGCCGCTTTAGGACAAAGTTTCCGAGAAACATTTTTACGCCGCATCGTGAACAATTACTCTATTATATTATGACTAACAGAAATAAAAACAAAACACAACGCTGGTATATTTTTGTTTTAAAAACCACATGTCAGATTCATATTGTTTATATTTTTTTAATATATGCACGAAATGTATATATATATAACGTTCACGCTAAAAAATATCTAACGTCACATAACACAAGGGATAAACGGAAACTTGCACACGTTTAAATTATTAACACGTGGATCAATGACTGCTAACTCAACCTCAACTTAACTCGGCCAACGGTGACTTAAGCTTACATGTTTATACCAACGGTACATAGATGGCGTTATTGTAAAATTAAGTCATTGCTTAACGTTAATTTATTTTAATTACTATTAATTAATGTTTATTTTAAAATTAATTAATCAACATTAATTTTTATAACCGTGAGATAATAAATTATGATTTCGCATATATTAAATCTCCAACAATTTACATGGCGTTTTTCTCTTTGATCTATAACTAGCAGTTGCCCGCACCTTCGTCTGCGCGGAATTAAAAAAATGCCTAAGTTACTCCCGCACATGTAACCTATCTTCTAGTAAACGTCCCGTCAAAATCAGCCCACCAGTTTCGGAGATTACCCGGAAAAAACCCGGATAGACAGACAAAAATTTAAATATTTTTTTTTTCCTTAAAAACAAATATTCATCATGTTCGCGAAGTATCTTTTTTCGGTCAAACATACAGACACTCCAATCTACAACAAAATATGTATACGCTTCGGGACATTAAATATCTTTTCATTCCGATCTGGTTTAAAAACATTAATAAGGTAAATGATCAAATACGCCGCTAAAATTAATGGATACTTAATTAAGTGTTAAAATTAATTATAATTCGCCGCCAAAGTAAATATTATAAAATGAGCAAATATCGACTTTCTCTAGAAGTTTCGTAATGAGAAAGGAAATTAATAAAGTATATGACAATAAGGTTAATGTCCGGGAAATGGCTCAAATGAACAAAAACCAAGCCATGAAAATTGTATCAAAATGTTTATGTACAAAATAAAGCAAAGTGACGCAATCTGCAGGTCCTGGGTTCGAGTCTCGCCATGTACTAATGTGTTTTTCAATTTCCGTTGGAGATCCGAGGAAAACATCGTGATGCACATATCTGAGAAGAAATTCAAAGACATGTGTGAAGTCAACCAACCCGCACTTGGCCAGCGTGGTTGGCTATGGCCTAATAACCCTTAACTTAGGGTAGGCTTTGAGTATCTCGGTAGGGAAGTATAGTGAGCTGATGATGATGATGATGACAAAATAAACAGTCTTTAATATACATATATTATCTAAGTAATATTATACAGAGGAATATTTTTAGAGTTCCGTACCTCATAGGAAAAAGGTACCCTTATAGGATATATGTTATCCGTCCGTCTGTCTGTCAAGACCCTTTTTCTCAAAAACGCGTGAAGGTATCAAGCTGGAATTTATTTTTTGTTTGTAACGAATAAACTCAAAAGTAATTAACCGAATTCAAAAATTCTATTATCCTTAAAAAAAACTACATAACTAATACAGGTTATAACTACTACATTTTTTTAACTCTGCGAAGACGAAAGTGTTGGCAAATCTACTTATAGATGCGAAAATGTTTTAACATTTGCTAAATAACTCTAAAACCCTAGCAGATGTGTTGCGTAAATATCAACAACCATTATTCCAATATTTTATTTTCCCTAAAAAATAATAACTATGGTAGGTTTTGCACAGTAGAACCCTACATAACCTGTGTGGAGGTGTTTTGTAGTAGAGTTTGAGTAGCGAAGTGACTTAGCCGAGTGAGTGGAGCTAAGCTAAGTTACCTGCACGACGTTCCTGACGGCCGTGCTGGCGGGTATGACGGTCAGCTGCTGGCCCGAGCTGGTCAGTATCTGCTGCTGGCCCACGCCCTCCGTCTGCATCGGGTTCGATACCGCCTTTATCCGAGCAGCGATACGATACAATATACATAAATATATACAAACCATACATATATGTAGAAAGACATTATATAAGTATATTTCTTTTCAAATATTTTCATACATTTTGTGCAGTAACTCGCAAGAAGTTATCAGCGGCCAAGATAATTAAAAAATACTGTATGTAAAGATTAGAATTCGTATGAATATGATTATCAAATATATAGAACTCCTTTCATATGTACATTATATATATATATTTGAAATAAATATATTATTTTTATCTTAGATTATACCAAGTTTTAAATATAAAATAGCTTAAAAAGTTGTTTAAGTATAGATAGAGATATATACGACAGTAGGATATCCAGGTGTCCTGTGTACCCTCTCTCACCTGCAGCGTGATGGTGGCCGGCGTCTGCGCCGCGCTCACTGATGTCTGCGCACCGCCGCTCGACTGCGCCAAACCAAACACCCACTTTGTATTTACAACTAATATACAACTACCTACTTTCACTACATTAAAACGATATGTGATTTGTTTAATCCTAAATCCTAGAAGTATAGCTTGAAGAAATCAAATGGGTTAAACACTTTGTCTTCGTATTTTAATTTTTTATATATATTATTTTAAGTTATTTTTGTTAAGTTTCCGTCATATAGATAAACAGTCGTAGTTTAATAGATAAAATATTAGAAGAAACAAGCTTTAACACTTCCATATTTAGCCCCATACAATAAACTACTTAGCTTTATTTTTAACAAGCAAAACCTTAGCACCACCGCAATGCAATCTCATACATCTCATACATATTAAATAAAAAATAAAAATGGATTCTCTTACCTGTACATTACCAAGTGAAGCTATTTGTATTTGCTGGATCTGACCCGAGGGTGTCAGAACATTGGCTACTTGCGGCTGTGCTTGCATCTGGAAAATATAAGCACTTTAGAAATAAAAAGAAAAAAATCAGTTCCTTGAACTGTCGCTTATCCCGGTTTGACTGGAGTTTAAAGATTTTACATAAGTTAGTTCTTGTAATATTATATAAAGATCGTTAACTTTGCAACTATCTGATCCACATCGAAACTTTAGCTGCGAGAAAATACAGCAAAGCATAGTAAATGTGGTACCTAATCAACTTTGCCCACGTTTTGACACTAATTTTACTTAACACGTTCAATACCACTATAGTTTATATTCAAGTGGAACCGACAAGCGGGTCCGTGGCATTTGGCGTGTTAACTGGACTATTTGCCCACATTTTTCCCACTGATAGCGACGATGCCCACGACAAGTGAATACATGTACAAGTGGTCTTAAGATGAAACTGGTACATGGTTGTGAGCGGTGTACGATGCCCACGCTTAGTACACCAGCAAGGTTACTTAGCCCACGTATGGGCAGTTACCTGTTGTAGCTGCGGTATGATCTGCAGATGGTGGGGCGCGTGTACCGGCACGTGGACTGTGTGGTACACTGTATGTCCGTTGCCCACGCTCACTGGGACCTGCACGGGTACCACGCCCATCCCACCCACGCTGCCCACTCCCCCACGTACTGCGACTCCACCACCTTACGAATGAAAGATAACAGATCCTTAAATTTAGTACTAACTCTTCTTAACAATTCATTGCAGTTTGACTGATATGTACATTATTTTTATAAGAGAAGTGGGCAAACGAGCAACGAGAAGACCGAGGTTCATCGATGCCCGTGGACATCAGCAATACCAGAGGAACCGCAGATGCGTTACCTTTGAGATGATGTTATCATAGATATGTACATATTTATATAGATAATGGTTTGTAAATAATATGGTACATTGAAAGTTTATAGTTACTACTACTAATTACCAGCAAATTAAATTTTAAGACAACCAAATTACTAATTTTAACATCTGGACTGCACACTAAAACATGGACGAACACCTGAAATTTACAAAAAAAATCTTCGACTTAAAACATGTAATAATAAAATCGTACATAATTTTTCTATTAGCAAACAACCAGAAATTATTCGAAAGCATAGAACTAATGGTAGTGGTGAATGGATTTATGCGAAAACAAGAAAAGCAAAGAAATTGTATTAAAAAGCATTGTGCTATCGGAAAGGATGTTTCACCGTGGGACTCTACTGCCGAGTAACAAAATATAGTAATTCCCAAAATTCTCATTCAAACAAATATAACACAATTTGTTACGGGCAGTGGAAACCAACGGCAAGGCAGAGAGAGAATTCTTCCAGCATAAATAACAAATATTGATATTAATACAATTAACTCATTGTCACCGGAATACAAAGTTAATTTTTTTGAGCACACAATTGGTTGGTTGGTACTAGCCGCGACTCCGGCCGCGCGGAATTAAAAATGCCTAATAAGTAGGTTATGTGTTCTTCGAAACTATGTTCTACATCAATACCAAATTTCATCAAGATCCATTGAGCAGTTCCGGAGATATCTTCAAACAAACATCCATCCATCCATCCATTCGTCTAAACAATCGCATTTTAATCATTGTTTGTTTGTTTTAAGCTCTGAAACTACTGAACCGATTTGAATTTTTTTTTATAGTCTGGAAGCTACACTTTCCCCGGGTGACATATTTATTCCTAGATTTCATCTCGGGCAACTGGTAATTGAATAAGTGAAGAATCCTCTCAATGGGTGTAGAGATGAGATACCAACCTTGTCCCTGCGGGCTGGTGGGTGACTTTTCCTTAGTGTTGGCACCCTTGTCTGCAGAGGGCAGTGGCGAGCTGGAGATAGTGATGGCCTGGCTGGTCGGGATCTGAATCCCGGCGGGAAGGGAAAAGTTCCCGGGGATCGTGATCATCGGCTGATTCCCGGCGAGCGCGCTCAACGGTATGGATATGTTAGAGCCCGGGATTGTGACCGTGGCCTGTTGCTCTGTTAGCGCACAAGTCAATGGGAAGCGGAAAATATTCATTAGTACGACAGTTAGCGGCAGGTGCAGGTGAATTCATGACTTACTTACTTCACTGAATATGTCGATTTATTTTATACAAGCCGAGTTTAAAAAAAAACAATTAATAGCCTATATGTTCTTCCAGACTATGTTCTACGTCTATGCCTTTCAGCGAAATCCATATGCCCATTCTTAAGATACCTTCTAACAAACATCCATCCATCCACACGTCCACATTACTAGTAAAATTTTACTAGAAATCATATAGAAAGAATTACAAGAAATTTCTGTGGACATTGCATAGTTATGTGGATACTTTCAACCAATTAATTTGAATACAACATTCGTCAAAGATTTTGCGGGTCTTTTAAGGGTTCCGCAGGAGAGTTCCATAGGAAAAAAATGGACCCCCTTATAGGATCACTTAGTTGTACATCCGTCTGTCTGTCAAGACCCTTTTTTTTATAAATAATACAAATCCATTGATAAAAATAGCCGAAGTATATTTTATTTTTTACAAAATCTAGAAAATTATTTTTATATTCGACATATTCAACTCAGTAATTGAAAAATAGTGAATTATGTGAGAACAAGAAGCATGCATTACAGATATTGTCTAAAACAATGAAACAGATAAAAAACACATGAATTGAACAAAGCAAAGCAAGTGCACGGAAAGTAAATCCAAGAGCAATCCCGAAGCTAAGAAGATATTAGGTACGGATGAAACATCCTAGGTATTTACTTATTTATATGTTTACATATGTACTTGGTTATAACCTAAAAAAACCTTTAACAATCAATGGAAAAGACTTGGGCAAGTAAACTCAATTTTATCTCCAGAAATCATAGAGCAACAAAAACCAAAAACTTATGAATCTCTTCCATTGTTTGTTAATATGGATTCCCACTGCCGAGTGTCATATTTTTTTTAGGTATATGAGAGAGATAGTATTAATACATGTTTCGGCAGTGAAAATTGACACGTGCATGACTTACCAGCAGGTAAATGCATGACATTCTGCAGGAAGCCTGCAGGAAGCACCGGTGTTCGAACCAGCTGACCGTTGACCAGGCTCACTTGACCCATGCCGGAGAAGTTCTGAAATGAACACAAAGTATATAAATAACCATAAATTATAGAATATCAGACCATAAAGGCCTTACTTTTAGTACAATCACAATCATCCTTATCTATAGGCCGGCCAAACTTAAAAAAAAAATAATTGACCTTAGTTTGAATTGCAAATGCAGGTTTACAGTGAGTCAAATTTATTATCTATATCTGAAGTGGAGCATACTATCTCGTATACTCACGTTATTTTGTGTTAATGTCCAGAAGTTGTCTCCTTGGTCGATATCGACTGGGAGTTCATCCTTCCTCCATTACATAAACACAAGAAAACTGTTGTCAGACTTATAATATATTTCCTGACCTGATCAGTGTCGTGACAATATACTCCTATAGTCACATTTTACTACAATCTTCATACAGAGTGAGGACCTTATCGAGTCAGCTTTGCGACATTTGTTATAAAAATTTCCGTTTTCTTATTGTTATATTTTTTTGTGATAGGTTTTTATAATTATTTTGTGATGATTTTGTTATTTGTCTTGTAATAGTTAAAGTTAATTAGTTAGATTAAGTGCAACTTTTTTTTTCTATGCCACACTACTTTTGGGTTAGTTTGTTACTTTTTTAACCATTCACATATTCTTTGGTCATTGTAAGTATGAAACATTGGGATTATGAAAAAAATTCAATAACATATGTCTAACCGTTCCAGGGTTAAAGATTAAATATGTAAATCAAACATATCCTACAATAACTGTACACATTTCCAGAAGCATAAATAGCGTCCAGACTATGTTCTTCATCTATAGCAAATTTCATCACTGCTGCGCCTTCTGGAGATACCTAGTAACAAACATCCATCCAAACATTCGCATTTAATATATTGAATAAGAATAATGTGTATACTGACTTGTGCATGCTGAGCTGGTATGAAAAGCGCCTCCTGACCATCCACAGTGACAGCCTGCATGGGAGCCACGCCCCCCACACCACCCACGCCCCCCACCAGGCAGCCCCCGTACACGCCACCTCCTTGCTGCTGAAAATTTACATCAAATACATTAAAATTACATTAAAATATGACACACAAGATCAAGAAGACAAAATGATTATTTCAAACTAGTTTTCGCCCGCGACTTCGTGCGCGCGGTAAATATATAGATACAATAGCGATAATCGCAAATATTCGTGTTAGGGTCACTTCCTAAATGTCAAATAAAGCTATTGATGTGTTTGAAGTTGCTCAGATACCTGCAGCAGCTGAGGGTGTATCTGCAGCAGCTGCTGCGGTGCGTTCTGGTAGGTAGCGCCCTCACCGCCGCCGCCGCCCAGCAGCTGCTGCAGCTGCTGCATCGATATCACCTGCACATAAAATACACTGCACTACTTGCATAATACAATATGCATATTAATGTATAGAAAAATAGTTAACAGTGGTAGACGCCAGCAACATGCCGGATGTTGATCAGACAGAAGACACGTCTCAAGTGGAAGCACTCCTCGTGCATGTGAGTGTGCATGCCGGAGCACTAATTTTAATACCCTTTCCCGTTCCACTTTTTTCTTACAAATAATGGATGGACGGGGAGGCTGATTTGACAGAGGAGACGCATAGGTAGAGGAAATATTCTCTTTCTGTGCGTGCACTCTTCGAATAAAGGTAGGAAAAGCATCTGCAATTGTCGAAATCTATAGGCAGCAGTCGTAGATGAAGCGATGATATAATAAAACAAATTGTATATTTTCTTACCTGTGGCTGCTGCACTTGTATGCCATTTGGCACAGTACTGGCTGCGTTCACTATCGCCGCTGACAGTTCATTGCCCTGTAATCACAATACTAACATATAGAAAAATATAAATAAACAAGAAAATATTTAAACCGGAGAATAACTTTTCTGGTTCCACTGTATATTAGAAGATATGCAATCAAGCAACCATAGTTACATATTGCAGTTATCTGTGCAGCGTTCACTTAGCAACATCAGGTAAATACTTTGCCAGCATAGACAAAAAAAACATTATATGGGTGCATATCTATGGCCACTTATTTTAATTATCTGTACACCGTCTTCGCTTGACCAAACTCTTCTTAATTCTATGATTTAGTTGTATCATGTACCAGTGAGGTCAATTTAACAAATCGTCCACAACATTCTTACAAACCACCAAGAAACTTAAATGTATAATTGTTAGTAAGTGCAAGGATCTAACTTAGCTCAAGGACTATAGTGCAAGTCACAAAACTTTAACCATTTACCAAACCTTCAAAATAGAGACTGAATCTAGCATAATGTAACCTAAGTCGGGGTAATTTTTGCTTAAAAGTAATAAATGCAGTTTTTTTTTTACTATTCAATTAATAATATCTAGCCTAGTGAGAGAGTTACTGCTTCTGTGACAAACCTACAGAAGCATAGGAAATTACATAAAAAAGGGTCTTGACAGACGGACAGACAACAAGGTGATCTTATAAGGGTTTCGTTATCTTTCTTTCGAGGTACGGAACCCTAAAGACACTAGACAGCTACAGAACAAGGATCTTGTGACACTGCATTTATTTTAACAGGAGGGCGCTAGTGACCTGTTATATATGACTATTGCCCACCAGGTCAGATAATTATGTCAATCTTTAAGTCTCATCTAAGACATCTTACCGGATGACCAAAATGTAGAGTTGTTTAAATTAGTATTTGCTCAGTTTTTCACTGATGACAAACCAACTACTTTAGTCAAATAGTTTATACATAGTTTTAGCGCAAAAAAGTTGTTTTGATGAAATGAGTTAGAAGCTGTTTCAGTGGATTGTTTTAATCATTATTAGTTATGCAGCTAAAGTTAATATTGTAAAGCTGATTTGGTAGGAAAGCTAATTGTTTAATGAACATATTACCCCGAACAAGTTATGTTAGATATATTATTGTTATGTTTAATAACAATGCTTTAACTCACTGTTAAACCTTGAGCTCTAAGTTGTTGTACAACTGCGGTACTAATGACCCTCAATTGAGGTTGTTGTTGTAAATATTGTTGTTGTATTGCGGCAAGAGTTGCCGCATCCCCTTGCACTTGTTGTTGTACTAGTTGAGCCTGTTGGACCTGTTGTTGTTGTTGTTGCTGTTGCTGCGCCTGCTGTTGTTGTTGCTGCTGTGCCTGCTGCTGTTGCTGTGCTTGTTGTTGTTGTTGTTGTTGCGCTTGTTGTTGTTGCTGTGGACCTGTAATATTACATTAATAAATCACTTGGGATTGATATTTTGAGTGTACTTTTGGGACATACTATGATTAACCACATTTTTAGGTCTTTTGATATTTAACAATAAGGCTAATACTAATATATGTTTCTGTGACGTACTGAAAATTAATATTATTTGTGAATTTGTAAAAGTTACAATCTCTATATTGGTCTGATAGTAATCGCTAATACTTTTTAATTTAATGTAATATTCACTTTAATATTAAGACTCATATTAAAACAATTTAGTTTGTATGTAATGTGTATATGTATGATAATTTCTTAATATAATTTTTATAACGGCAACATTTAATTTATTTCTTTTTTTTTTAAATTTGCATTAATGGTGCGCTTAGACTATTTAAAACTACATAATCTTACTATAGTGTTGTTGTTGTTGTTGCTGCTGTTGCTCTTTCTCTTGCTGTTCGGGCCCCATGTTGGCTGCGCCGAGCCGGCTGCAAGTTGCCGCCAGGAGTGCCAGCGGAGACTGGTTACCACTCTCTTCCTATACCAAACAAACCATATAGAAACATTGATTTATTGAAACAAAATGTATTATGTGAAGTTATGGATGTTTTATGGTGATAAAGATATTTGTTCCTTCTATTGTGAGTGATTTTGTAAAGCGAGCATTCATTTTATTCACAGTAGTGTCAAAGAGTAGTTTTGCTAACAGCTAAACATATAAAGTGATAGAGTAATCTTTTAAATAAAATAGTTTGTTATTGTATTATTTTACTTTTAATACTAGCTTTTGTTAACAACGTTGTTAATAACGAAAAAAAAGATTATTAAAGACGTTTTTACAAAGACGTAATAAAACGGACTTAAAATAAACTTCACAATTAGTTCAACGATTGATAAAAAAAAAACAAAAGTTTTTGTAAAAGTTACTAAATTTCACGAAATTTTAATTACAGTGTCAAAAATTGCAAACAAGTTTTAATAACCAATTTAACAACTTTACACTTTAGCTAAAGGTAATTTGTTTAAATTATTATAAAATTATTCGTAAATAAACAGCGTTTACATTAAAATGATTAGAAAACATTGATGATTGATAGAGATAGAAAAAAATCGTATTTTAAGTTAAGCGTCATTACTGTTTACGATGTTCGAAATTCAACTTTGATATTTTACGTTATGCTATGTATTGGAATGTTGATAAATACGTCACTTAAATAAGAAAACATTTTTTTTTTCAAGTTACAAAGTTTCAAACTATTTTGAAAACATTAAAGATTCTCGTAATAATTAATTTTAGTACTTTAAATAGCCTACATGATGTACGAGTACGGTGTTGATTGCACATCGTGAGAAACTTTACAAATCAAGATGTAGTTAGGAATTATCATAGTTTGTTTATTGTAGTAGTTGGGAGTCGACACGCCTTTTCCTAACAAGTGCCGGGAGCCGGGAGTCGTCGCACGCAAGGCCGCCGCCGCCCTTTGATCCACCCACCTTAGGTCGCGTGGCCGTGATTTCACGAATTGTGCTACATGCAGACAATTAAATGCCTCGCCTACATGTATCGTACGTAATGCTCTATTTGAGAAAGCAATATGACAAGATTGTCTTACGACTATCGAGATTATTCGTTAAATACGAAGTTTGGAAAAATGAAACGCAATTCGGCGTAATGGTGAATTAGCATAGAACATGCGCAATTGTTTTACAACACTGGCAAGACATCGTAGGATGTAATGTAAAGTCACTTAGTTACAAGTGGGTGGGTAAGAGGAATCGGAAGAGGCCGTTGATGCTATTTCGGCAAGGGAGTAGCTCGCGACGCGGTCACAACCTCCCGCGCGTGGCCTGCCGGGCCCCACACGGCCGGGGCCGCGCTCGCCCCGCCCTCCCCCTGCGTCGTTCGACACACGAGACCGCTCGCTGGCGTCCGATCTATTACACAATAACACTGCATCCGTTCACTTCTTGCGCCATTTACCTTGATAATCTTGTCCTCACTGATGTATTCCACCTGCACTTTAGTGGAGTCAGACGACATCATCTACTTTACACTTGCAAACGATTATTTTCCTTTGTTCAAGTACGGAACGCACCATTCTCACGACCATCCGCCAAACTGCGGCGAGTGAACTGACGATTGTAGACGAACGCGTTCGGCACGCTTCGGAGATCCGCCTCCCATCGCTGTCGTACTTGATGCAGTTTTATTCTCTCAAACAAATTATTTCGCTATACGGAAGTTAAAATTTCTTTTCAATCGAAGGCAAGATACAGTGGCAGCGTTATACTTAAGTTACTTTTACTTTTCAGTGGAAGGAAACTGTTGTAAAGTGTTATTTTACTTTGACGGCCAGTATCGCTGTCTCGTTCCCTCGTAGACAGGTCTTGATTATTGGTAGGCAGCAGCTGCGCCTCTCTTCTCCTCCCCGTCGCGGGTGCGGCGCCGCCGCCCGATAATAATAATTGAAAGTAGGAAGGACGTAATAATGGGTGTATAACCTCGCGCCCGCGTCCTCCTTGGGCGGGCAAAAAATGCACACATGTCGGGCTTGGCGCGGCGACGCGGTGTTTGGCGCGCGGGCCCGACGGGAGCGCGCCTGTAAACAAACGATAAGGGTGCTCGGCCTCCGGGCTTTGTTCATCACAACTCCAGATTACGTCGCGATCGCTGACGACGCTGTTATTTCTCAGAATATCTTATCGCTGCCAGCATTCGTAATAAAAATATAATACCTTGATATTGTCTGAAGATATTTGTAACGGTAGCACTCGTACTAGACCATTTGTTGACGTCAAGACAAACTTTGGTAATCATGTCATGATGACCTGGTTGCTATTTATAAAAATGGCCTTAGTTGATTCAATGGATATAGGCGAAAGAAACCGGCTTAATGCTTTGTTCAGCTGTGGGATGTAATAGAGTAGGTTAATACTACGTCATTATTCGTTATTTTAGACTATAATTATTATCACGAGTAAATAATTTGAAATAAAGCTAGGTGTACAACAATTACATAGTGTACCGATTTGAATATGGTCGCTTGCACACGTAACGCGAATTTACATTTATGAATATGTATAAAAAAATATTTTAATATAATCGTTTGGTGGGAGAGATTTTCTAGTACAATTTTTATTTATAACATTTTTAACAGCAATAAGATTGTAGTGTCACGTAGCGAAAGTGAAAGTGGAACTGCGTTTTGTGAGTCGCCCCGAGTCCATTATGCACGAATGAGCAGCCGCCCCGAGAGATCGTGTGTCCCAACCTTAATTATATCCAACATCACAACCCTATTTTCAACTCTATCTGTACGTGTATACAGTTGAAAATCAAATGTCAAAAAGATATTCGACTTGATTATCAAGCGAACTGTACTTTACGTGGACTTGTTTGTTTTATTTTACACCTTATTACAATTCTAATAAAGTATAAATTAGATATATTTGTATTTAGCATGTATAACATTATTAGTTTCGTCTTAGCTCTATTATGGGTGTACCTTGGCGTGGCTGAGGCATGAGGCATGCGGCCGGCGGCGGCGGGCACCACGTCACAGTCGCGCTGTTTGTGTTTTGATTTAATCACTTGATGAACGATACTGGCTACTGATGAAGTCACCTCGCTTAGTTTGCGCGGGAAAAAATTTCATTTTTTTTTAAATTTGCAATATCGTTTTGAAGTATGCTGACATATTATTGAGTCATGTTAAGAATTGATACCGGCCACACTGTGAGAATAACAACTTACTTAAAAATTAAATATAAATTTAATGGAGCGAATGTTTTCTTTTTATTACTCGATCGTTGATTGCATCTGGTGGATGCCACACTGAGAGTTGTTATTTATTTTTTTATAAGAGAAAGGGGATCGGCTCTTACTAACAATGACCAATAGTATGGATTTACTATTAAATCCGCACTTAGGTTTTGCTTAACAAGTCTGAACATGCACTTGAAGACTTTTTACATAAAATCTAGAATTTTGTAAAAAAAAACATTTTTTTATCTATTTTTTTTTAAATATCTTTGGATAAGCACAACAAAACATGTTATTTTTGGCTCGGATAACTATCTCTTAGATATCTATATATACTAAAGACAGGAAAATAAAATTTGCGCGTCATTAAAAAACCGATACGCGTTGTCGGAAAACAAGTTTGTTGCAGCAGTGATATAATATCCCTAATGCAGATTGTAATCAAAATGAATCGGTTCCTCCGCGAGCCAAGGTCACCAGGTTCTCGCTGTTGTGCAATTTACTACGTTGCTAAATAGAAAACATATTAATAAATAAATTATACCGATATATTTCCATAATATCCTACATTTCTTCTTTATTTGTTTACCTTTTTGTACATGTTTGAGAATCCATATTAAATAAATTGAAAGAAAATGTTCAACTCTAGTGATTCCATAACGAATATCAAAAAATGTATGAAAACGCGTGACAATCACGAGACTTATAAAAAGTTATTGACAGTCCTAAACATTTTTGAAGATCGTTGTGGAATCGCTTAGGACGAATGTACTTTTTAAGTCCCTCTGATTCGCAAATGTAAACCTAAGCGATGCGTAACGCGAAAGACATGAAAATGAGGCGTATATGGAACGCAGAGTTTGTTCCAAATCACAACAAGATCTTATTTCATGATGTAAGGTAAGTTCAAACCAAATCTATGTCAATTTACGACAAAATTGGGTTCGCGTCAGTTCCTCTTCGCTTTCGCGGGATTGCGCTATAGTATAATAAACACTAGAAGCGCCAAATGGTGAGACCATCGCGAAGCGTTGTCGTTGTAGCATCGGAATCCCGTTATCGAATACACTTATTCTATTTTTTTCCTTATTTTATGTCAATTTAGTAATGTACGTCTCTCTGGCATCATGGAGAACAAGCCCTATATTCTTATGTACACATTTCAAGAGCCAATTTGTTTCTGCATACACAAACTGGCCACTAAGTACTTCATTAAAGACCAGTAAACACTCCTAAACACTGATCTGCCTACCTACTTATTGTTAAGAAGCTTTATTAATTTACAAGTTTTACGAATGTTTAAGACATCGGAGGATTTGGGGCAGGTGACGACTGACGGAAGCGGAAGTGACGGTGGGCGGGCCGGACCGCCCGCGCCCCGCCGCCCCCCGCCTGCAACCCGCCGCCCGGACACGCCCTAGCCGCCTGCAACCAGTGCTGCAGCCTACTGACCAGGACCTCAACCTTCATACATCCTTCAACACAACTCGATCACAAAACAACACACATTAGGAGACAAGAACGGAAGACATCGAGGTTCCACAACTCTTCCTATGTCATTTTTTCGTTCAAATTGTTCGATGCATACGTTCATATGTATATTTTTTATTGGCTTAATATATTACATAGGTACCTCTACATAACAAGTATATGAACGACGTGTGTTGTTATATTTTAGTATTCCAAATTGTATACGAGATACGAGTGCAATCTAGTTTGAATTCACTAATCTTCGATTCATTTCCCAAACGATTGACAACACATATGTAAATCGACTACATGTATATGACAAATATCGATGCATTTGGCGCGAAACTCCCATTTACGTTTTGTGGCTATTATATATATTCGATAAAGACACTATACTAAACTGATGTAAAAACGGCTAAACACTCACGTGTATTCGTCCGGTGGCGGCACCGACTAGTTTTGAGCCCATCGGGGGCCCTTCATCAGGATGAGTGGCACTGGTATTATATCGCGGACGCGGCCAGTCGCTCACTCACGTGAGTGTTTAGCCGTTTCTATATCAGTTTATGTCTCAGGAATTGATTGAATAATTTAAAGGCACTATAGTTATTAGTGATTGTAATTATGCCGTAATTAGTTAGAATTTAACAAGTTTTTAAGAAGTGTACATCTTGATCAGCATAAGTCAGTGAATTCGAGAAAGTGATTCAAGATTCGAACAGACGACCTAATGCTCGTGCGTAGTAAGGGGGCGGCGTAACCGCGTGATCTGCGGGCCCCACCCTCGGCTAGTTACGTCTTAACAAATGTCGTTTAAACTGAGGGGGACAATTGTTGAATGATGTTAAGTCGGCTTTTAAACAGTGAACCTATCTTTAGATCCATCATGATTTTTGCTCTTTCATAAAATTCTCAGTATCATAGTTAGTAAGTACTAAAAGATTTCTCATGTGGCTGGAACTTTCAAATTGAGATATGGCTACATAGGATGTCCGGAAATCTAAAAAACAATATATTTACTTGTTTTCGATACCAACTTACAGTCTGTTCCCACTAACGAAACACCCATGGCAAGGGTTAACTAAAATACTATAACATATTTTGTCTACGGTAGTACGACAGTCCTATTAGGCAATGACGCCATCTTTTTTTCAGTTTTTGTTCTCAACTAATTACCTAATACGTGTGTTATTTAATAAAAACGCAGTAATTGTTGAAAGTTACTATAATATGATCAAAGGTTACAAAAATGATATTACATGTAACTATATAAAGATTTTGTTGCCAAAAAAAATCATATCGTTCTCCTCGTGTGTTAGTCAGCCATGTTCTGTTTTCTACAGGTAGGCAAGAGTTGCTTACTTTTGTAAACGATTTCCCAAGTTTTTGTGGTTTCAGCAAAAGAAATTGTGCATCGTACTGTATACAAGAAGGCTGCTGTATTTATTGCACTCTCGAGAAATGAGCACACAAAGTACCCTTTAATTAGTTCATTATCTTCTTTTTCCCATTTCGGATTGTTTTGTTTTAAACCAGCTGATTTTCTTATACAAATATCCACGTATTTATTTCAATATCGTCATAATGTAATAGGGTAAAGGTAAAGTTCAAACTTCAAAGAAGAAAGAAATAAATTGGGAGCGACTCAATTAAGGTATTTCTTTGAAAGATTAGAGCAGTTTAAAAATTCGTCTATTTTCCGTGATACTCACAAGTTCTCAGTAATTTATTTATAAAGGAATTTAGAGCGAGTGAAGTGAAAAGCGTCGCTCCCACCCACCGCCCGCCGCCCGCCGCGACCGCGCGGGGCGTAGCCGCCGCCCTGAGAGCGGCCGCGGCCCGGACACGCGCTGCTCTCAGCCACTTTCCCGCCAACATTTATGTCACTGCCCTACAAACGTCACACGTGACATTTGTT